TATGAATATATACACGCATTTACCTGGATAAAGATAACTCCCAAAGGAGTGGAATTCAACTCCTAATCCACTCCTAAGTATTACGAGTGTTATGGCTGCCCATGTGAAGGCATGCGTATTACGCCCCGCAAATGAAAGCATCTCGCTCTATCTCTCTATGTAGACAATCTATAACCTTGTCATCTCTGTCCCTTAATTAACTAATGGCGCGACTGAATCTCATTAGCAGCTATGACTAGTCTCCATAGAACCCCACACCCATCTGCCATAGCACAATACCCACCTTCACACGCACACCCACCTTCACACATACACCCACCTTCACACACACCATTCTGCGCGAACAGATTTGGGTTTGTCAACGAAAATGAATAAGTTCGGTCTTTTTAATAGTGTTTTTACAATTAGTATTACAGTGTGCCATTTTAGGTACGGTGTTTAGGTATTTAGGGGATACAGGCAGATTAAGCATGTTCGGTGTTATGGTTTAATTGAAATAATATACGATGAGCCATAATCCAAATTTCGGTGTTCAAGAGTTTCGTTGAAACCATCAGTGCGTCCTTGTACGTACGGTGTTTAGGTGATACAGGCAGATTGAGCATGTTCGGTGTTAGGGTTTGATTAAAATAACATACACTGCCATATTCCGAAATTCGGTGTTCAAGAGTTTCGTTGACACCACCAATGCGTCCTTTTAGGTACGGTGTTTGGGTATTTTGGTATTGACTAACAGGTGTAGCAAGTTTGATGTAACAGTGTTTATGAGGATAGCATAAAAGAGCCATATTGCGAATTCGGTGTCAAAGTATTTCGTTGACAATATGTGCCATGTTAGGTATGGTGTTTATATATTTGGGATCTACATTTAGGTGTAGGCATAGGCACAGGCAAAGCGTTTTGGAGTATGGTTTTGGTAAAGTTAAATATAATTATCTTTGTGTGCCATTTTAGCTTCTTTGTATGGGCAATTACCAGTTCGCCGTTTCATGCCAGGTATTACACACTCTTAAATCACCGAACCGTTTAATTTTAGGAGTTGTGACATTTGAACGCAATTTGACTGGTAAATATAGAAGCTTACATGTACTACTAAAAGTGTTTCTTAATACGTAAATGTATATATTGACAGTTATTACTGTTCTCGACTCGAAAGTTGAACAGCATGAATCGTTATTTACCTTATCTTTACCATTCGAAAACTAGAACATCATAATCTCATCTTGTTTGACAAAACTGAGATGTATTTTCATGTAATAAATATCCATATAAACAGCAAGGCTCTAATACACTTTTCTGTTTTTTTTTGCGGTATTGTTAGTGTAGATTATTGTTGCTGAGAATTAACAATATGTATATTTCCGTTCCTTTACAATTTAGAAGTGCCTGTCTCACCACATTTTTACCATTTATTTGTAAGAAGCTTGCGCTATTATTGTTCCTGTTTGGGGCGCCTAATCTATGTCAACAATTTCATGTGTGTGATAGAGGTAGGGAGGTAATAGCATTGCTAGTAGTATAGGATATACGACCTCCTGGTTAAAATCCAATTACATATACATTCAATCAGAGTTTGAATTGCCTGAGGAAAAATGAATAACTGTAAAGGTTGGAGGAGAATACGATGAGGACCTGTGTGTGTTGCACGGGGATGTGAATTGGCTTTATATTCATCTAGCATGTTCAGTACATTGAAAGTACAGTCATGTGATGTATAAGCCGACTATGGGGGTCATATATCTCATTGCATGTTTCTGTGTGGGCTACATTATGTAAGCTATATACAGAATACACCTGTTCTTTCATGTAGTTGAACAGAAATGGGGGTTGCGTTATCATTTGTTTCAAAATTGTGTTTTCTTTTTGTTACGTAGAAAAGAAAAAAAAACACTTCATAAAATAATGTAAATATTCATTCTTACACCGGTTTTGAATTTTGAATTATCATTTTACAAGGGTCTGTAAAGATGTTAGGATCGTGACGGGTACGATTTTGTTAAATGTTATTTATCTTAATGCTAAATAAATTACTATTTGCTGATATAGTATCGAACAAAATACATTGCGACACAAACGAATGTCACTAGCGATATTTTTTTCGTTATTTATCTTGTTGATCGAAATAAAGTGATAAATGCAAGAAAAAAAGTACACGCTCTTTGCCTGTTTTAAAGACATGGGAGAGGTTCTCAAAAAAGGTGAAATTGATATCATAAAGAAAAGATATACCCAGCAGATTTATCGTTCAAATAAAGAATGTAAGCTCGACAAAATATTCTGAAGTGCTTTTCTTGAAGAGTACTCGAAGGAAGTATTTGGAAAGGTCAGTTTTGTTCAGGTGTTTACTTAATATCCAGTCTACGTTAACCAAGCTTGTACATGAAGTGATTTGTAATACAGAATGTCATTGCAATTGACGAACATTCATTTTCTGAACGGTGGGGTTTCTAATCTGTAGTGAAATGTAAGCACATGTTTGTCACTGTCAGCTGTCGAACTTTTTAAAATGATTTCTTTTTCAAGGTCCTGGCATATCTGTGGGTTGGAATGCGTGCGGGTATAGCAGCTGTTTGTAAATCGACTTTACTTCAAAGAAGGCCTATTACATTAATATTCCACTCATTTAAGCGATAGAAAATGAGTTTTCCTAAATCTGGCTGCACAATAATTGATGATGAAAGAAATTGTCTTTAAGTTAGGAGTAAATCTGCCACAGGGCAATGAATATTAGATTCATCGACATCAACATCGACATCGACATCGACATCATCTTCACCATCTCGTCATGTTATCATTATCATAATTATTCTCATCTTCGATATGTCAATGCTTGGGTGCAATGAAACATGTTCGATATCATAGATTTTTATCATGACATCTAGATATTTCATCATGTATTTTTTTCGTCGTCAGAAGATGTTTTCATTCTTTTTCCAAGTTGTCACCTCCATCATCATCATCAACTTTATACTGAGTTGTGTGTATGTTATAGATGTCGAGTTGTAAAATGACTTTATAAATATAGCTGTGATAATATATTCTTTTCATTTCGCCATGTTTTTTTCTATTTCTAAATTCATGTTGGTCGTGAGATAACGGTGTCCTTATTTCAAGTTCTCAGTAATTACATATAAGACATCTGAAATAAATGTTACATAATATGTATTCCCTTAATCACTTTTTTTCTTCTTTTTAAATTATGATGTATATTTCATTTTTCACATTATCGTGAATGAAATAGTCCCTTCTGTTAACATTATGTAAATGAACTGGTATTTGATATTCATCTCTCTCTATATCTATCTATATATATCTTCTTTTCTCGTTCCAATGTTTTTTCTCTAATCGCTATACTATATGAAAGAGATATGTCTACTATCAATATCAAAATGTAAATGTTAACATTGATAGAGGTTCAATGTGACTATAGCAGGTTCCCGAAAACGTTTCATTTAGATGTGATTTATATGTAATAATATATGGAATAAGTTAATATATTACATGATATATATATAAATATCTATGATCTATGAATGCCTAAATGTTTGGAAATGCTAACAATACGATATGATATGATTGTGTCACTATTCTTCAGCCGTGACCTACTAAAATACAATTCAAGTGAAAAGATGATATGCAATCTATTCCTTATATAATATCTATACTGAGTTTAAATAGAAAGACTTCAAAAGACCCTTTTTCTAACATCAAATATTTCTAAATATAACTCACATAATATTCATTTGTTCCTTTAAAGGATATGCATAGTGCAAATTGGTTGTTTAAAGTGTAGTTTGACTACGTTTTTAAGGTAATTTTCCCATATTTTTATAAAAAAATCAATACAAATATGAATATAAATATTTCCCTTATTTACAAAGGACAGGAAAAAATAATAATGCTAAGTTCGAAAGTGATAAGTATTGACCCGACAGTAATTGCAATTTTAATTATATATATATTACATTCGGCATAAATTGCAAATATTGTAAGGTAAAACAGATGCATAATATTTGTTACTAAGAGTTTTTGATATATTCCAGGGGAAGCATCAAATGAGGTGTGTATGTATATATAAATACATCATTTATATTCCCGATCTTAAGATAGGGCTATACTAGGCCAACATCATTATCACATTCAGTATGTTTTGTTACAAACACATATTAACTACTTAAGATGTGTATAGCAATATTACAGAGCATCGAATATTATGCCGTATACTTATAAATGTTGCATAACATATGGACGTTTATATTGCGAAATGAACGTGAGTGCTACATAAAAGGGATAATTCAATTATTAGAAGTAATCGTTCTTTTTAGATCAGGATTATAATGTATACTTATACGTGAAGCTACATGTTTAATTCCCTGAATTTGAAGCTTATATGTGTTTGCATGTATTAAGATATTCTCCTAGTTCTCCGTATTGTTTCATTGTATATCATCTGTATTATTTTCTATGAAGCATTCTGCTTCATCCAGTCATTTTGGTAAATAGTGACACATTTTAAAGCGCTGCATTACTTTAACAAGCCCCATAAACTGCAGCAATATAGTGGTACACAGCGTGAATGAAGTCTTGTGATATATAAACGTCTATAATAATAAATTTGCAACTCAATAAAACCCCAAATGAATGACAGTACTTCTTCATTTTGAAGTCAACCACTGTTTGCTGAACAAGGCACTGCTATATTTCTCAATTTTTAAATTGCAATAGCAACTACGAAAGTACCACAAGAGTCTTTGTATCTAACATTCCGCTTTGGAGCGCATTATTTTGTATACATTCCTTGTTATTGGAAATGCGTACTGTTCAATATGTGCTTGATCTTGTTTTGTTAATTGCATTGTTCTTAGACATAGCATTGCATGAATATATTTTTGGGAAGAACTTCCAGTATAGGCTCGTCCAAATATCACGCGGTAAATCGCAGCAAAACAAAAAAAAGCACAAAAAAAAACCCTCCACGGCTCCCCCCCCCCCCCCCCACGTTTAAATAAATGTCGACTGCGCGCTAAATCATGCGCGTATTGACCGAGCTGTGTTACGGAAATGTGACGAGTATTACCCTTTATGTCATCATCATTAACAAAAACGCCGCGGTTTCGCCACGTGATATTTGAACGAAGTTTAAGACTTTAATTCGCTTTGAATGCATGCAAGGTACTAGTGGCAAAGTTGTATAAAAAATTGAACACAAACAAATGAAATACCTTAGTTACACGTCTGTTTCTATGCTGAGCATTTTAAGATTATTGTTTCTTATACAGTTGCCCTGAACATTATTTGGCCTTGAGTTGCCATTATGATTTGATTTCCTACTGGATGATTCTAATAGCCCCTCTTCCATCTCCACAAAATCATGTTGATCCAACTCACTATTACCTTCACTTTTATCGTCGATTGAGGGCGCTTGTTGGAACGGACAGCTTGATACATGTGAGTAGTTTGAGGAGTCTTCACTGTCTGCCTCCCGGTGGTAAAAATAATTGAAATTGGACACGATTACGGGAACAGGTAAGGCGATCGTCAATACGCCCGTTATTGCGCACAGCGACCCTACGATTTTAGCACCTGTACTTTTTGGTTTCATGTCACCATAACCTACGGTTGTCATGGTAACTACAGCCCACCAGAATGCATCCGGGATGCTCTTGAAGATGGGTTCGCCGTTTTCGTCCGAGCTGTCGGCATCGGCGAAGTACACGGCGCTCGAGTATAGGACAACCCCAATACATAGGAAGAATATAAGAAGGCCCAGCTCACGCATACTGGCCTTTAAAGTTCGACCAAGAATCTGTAAACCCCGAGAGTGTCTAGATAACTTGAATATTCTGAAGACGCGAACAAGTCGGATAACACGAAGGATAGCTAAAGACGTAGCCTGGCTATTGGTGTCTGTGGATGACTGGGCGACCATGGTGCCCACTTGTATAAAATATGGAAGTACTGCTATGATGTCAATGATATTCATGACGTTTTTCGTAAAGGTAAATTTGCTGGGGCTCGAAAGAAACCGAACCAAAATTTCAAAAGTGAACCAAACAATGCAGCACGTCTCGATTACAAAGAACGGATGGCGGAAGTATGCCGCCAGTTCTGCACTTTTGATGGCAGCATCTGCTTCCTCCGACGTCAACGTTCTATTACCTGATTGGGTAGCTGTGGGCACCGTAGTCGATGCCATTGTCGTTCCACAAGGGGCTGAACCCGATCCACTCTCTCCCGGCTTACGCGCATCTTTGAACTCGGGCATTGTTTCCATACAGAAGATTACAATTGATATAAGGATTACAGTTACAGATATGACAGCTACAACTCTGGCCATTCTCGAAGACTCGGGATATTCAAATAGAAGCCACATTTTCTTTTGCAAGGGATTCGTAGGCAATACTTTTTCCTCATCTTGAATGAAGCCTTCATCCTCCCGGTACTTTAGCATTGCTTCATCACCCAGTTCGTAGAATTTGATTTCCTCTGTGAAGACATCTATAGGAACATTGACGGGTCTCCGCAGCCTGCCGCCACTTTGGTAGTAGTACAAAATGGCGTCGAAGCTAGGTCGGTTACGATCGAAGAAGTACTCGTTCCGTATGGGATCAAAGTACCGGATCCTACGCTCAGGGTTTCCTAGTAATGTGTTTGGAAACTGGTTCAGAGTCTTGAGGTGTGTTTCATAGTGGAGTCCACTGACGTTGATGACAACGCGTTCCCATCCTGGGTCCTCACTTGCCATGTCTTCACCGCTGTCACTACTATCATCTCCCTGCTCCAGGAGTCGGGGTAGTGACCGACAGTTACTCATAGCTCCAGAGATGTTGCCTCCGCTTGGCGTATGAGACATGGACCGTCCATAGTGTCGTGGGGTGGAGGCATACGGGTTACCTGATGCAGCCTCCAGCCCTGCCATTGCCGCTTCCATCCTTGGACTTGCCGCTGAGGGCGCCTCCAAGGAGGCCTTGGGCTTGTTGCTTCTGCCCCAGGATCTATTTTGTCTGTTGTTCGAGCGAGACCAGGCAGGGTTTAAACCCCAACGCTCGATCAAATCTATTTTATTGAAAATGGTGGCGGTTGGTGTTTCACGATTAAGAAAGAAAAATAATGGCGCATTTAAATCAAACAGCAACTAAAGCTCTTAGCGATTGGGTGGCTTTGTAAGCGCAGAGTTCGATACTAAGGGGGGAGGGGGCAAGGGGGAGGGACTGAGTACCTTATTGTTGCCACCAAGTACTGGGCCGTTTTGTTTCAGGCACGCTGAAGATAAATTCTTTATCTCTTATTGAGATTAATATCTAGACTAAAACTATACACTGCTAGTTCTGTGCACAAATTACAATGTCATCATATTTAGAAAATGTTATGAAAAAAAAATCGAAAGAGCTTAAACAAAACTCTTTATAGAAAAAAATTGCAGCTGCTGCAGAGTTCGGTTACGCCAAGACTTGTAAAAAATTGGTTTCTGTACTTACCATAAAAACACCAAATGATATATATTACCAGAGTAAGAAATTTGTTCGAACAGAACACAGATTAACTTTCCCAAAACAAGAATGCATAAATTGTAGATGATGAAACCAAGGAATGGTAATTCAACGCCTGAAAACTTATCCAACCGAAATCGAGACACCAGCGCTCTTTTCCTTTGAAATCGTCTTGAAAGGAACTTTCCGGAAGTCTTGTGATCGGAAGATTCAAAGCTTTAATCGTGCACTTCACTTCGTATGAAAGCGATGTCCACCGTGTCTTTACATAAAGATAACATTGAACAGGTTATGAGTGTTACGTTCATGTACACGTAATATCGCCGGGCATGAACGTTTGCTTAAACTTCTTATGGTATCCCTGTTATTTTTCCACGCAAGTATTCAGGAATCTAATCTCCTTTGATCAGGTAGGTTCAGTTACCAATGTTGCTAGCGATTTGGGTGTTTACCCCTCCCCCTATCAATAACGAGATAGGAACAGCACATCTCCATCTTTCATCTCTCGAACCACGGGCGAGTTACACAGAGGGTAGACAGCCATGAAGAGAAAGGCTGGTTAGTGTGCGCTATGTTTCTATCTACCAAAGCTTTCCTTCACCCATTCAAAACACACAGCAGACAGGCCAGCAGCCACAATAATGGCGACACCGAGTTGAAATAGTCACGGGCGCGATAGAGCTAGCGTGAACTCCCTATGCTAGTAGCTAGCAGCGCCCGCCTAGTCCTCTATTCTTTATCCGCCAACCTGAATGCCCGCCTGAATGGCTATTCGCTGACTTCCAGTATGTTGGCTACGGCCCGCTAAATGAAGAAACGGCCGAACTGTGTTGGTGTAACTTTACTCCAATGAACATAATATATGCCGGCCTCACGGCGTTGTCTGCGAGCCCGATGCAGCGCTATTGTGTGCGTATTCAATGTGTGTATTACAGCATTGCCATATCTAACGGGCTCGCATCACTTGTGTGTTCGGTTTGAAGGGGCGATTGCAATGACAATGAACAAGGATGCATTCGAAATGAGATGTTTCAAACCCGTTCCTCACCCATTTTCTACTGCTCACTGTGGCTAGCAGGGGGCTTAATTACGTGATGTCGTCATCACGCTAAAACACGCATCGTTGACGGCGTTTTTAGAATCCATGCTTTTTCATTTGTCTTAACGTGACATTCTCCGAGTAAGCTTATGAAAGGGGTAATATTGGCGCCGAGGTGGAGACGTTTGGCGGCGTTGTAGCAAATGTGTGTCTGGTATGAGTGCGTTAATTGATACTGATGTTATGTGTGGTGTATAGTAAATTGATGATTGTGGAAAGTTGTATCGATGTTTTTATACCAGCCTAAGAATCTGATATTAATATTAATGATACTAATCAGGATATCAATAATGATAATAATCAGGATATCAATAATGATAATAATTATGACATCAATAACGATAATAATAATAATGATAATATTTATCATTATTTAAGATATCATTATAATATTCATAATAATGATAATATCATCATCATCTTTTTGATACTATTACGAAGAAGGGAAAAAGAAGGAAGAGGTGAATAAGAATAATAATTAGAATGAAAATAAGAATAAGAAATATTGGTTGACATTGCGCCGCTTCTTTACAAGTATCCTCTATTATGCTGAAAACAAATTATGTTATTCCCCCACCCCTCCCCCAGCTTTAGCCGAGCTATACCTTTGATTATTCTTCGAAGTTTTTTCTGCTAGATACTAACCTCCCCTGGGTAGAGAGTGACAAATCTACACAAATGTTTTGCCAAATGATGTGATCCACAGTCCGCTGACTTGGCCACTAGAGATCACAAAAGCTCTAACCTTTATCATGCTTGCTTGAAGGAAGATTGAACATCAAAGATTCCATTCATTCCACATTTTCATAAATATTAATAGCTTAAAAAGCTATGAATTGATATAAAAAGTACCTCTACAGTGTCAGCAAACTCGGAAAAGGATCGATTCGTATTGAGTCTGATGTCGAGGACAAGCAAACTGTTCCCGAAGTGATTTTGAAGAAAGATGTTAATAAAAACAAGCTACAGTAAACATTCTCTTACCTCTAACGTTATTGACAAACAATATTCCTAAACACTTCGAGATGCAGGATAGAATTTTAATCATTGCAAAATAATGTCATACTCATTGATTATGTTTTAATTAGTTTTCATTGAAATTACAAATAGGCTTACTACTTGGACACATACACGAGTGGTAAGAGTACGGTCATTATCAACATGTACATCATTATTTTTAATTTTGTAAATTCTGACACACGAAAAAGAAATGATATATTATAATATTTAGATTGAAACGAGAGAATGGAGGTATTTAGTTCAACATAGGAAACTGAATGCCTGTGAAACAAATACATTCAAAAGGAAATCACTATGGAATTCTAGATATTTAAGGTTTGAAATGTAATGTATATAATTCAGGGAATCCTTTAATTTGTAATTATTAAATTCGAAAATCCCAAATATGTATAAATGCAACCACAATTCGGCTAATTACACTTGTGTAGTTCATGATCTGTATCCGAAGTTTCAATTATACTCAAATTGACTACATTCTAATATTCAAACTTGAAGACAATGTCGATCAAAATCATTTTGTTGTGATCATAACTATGGAAAAAGTAAATAACTTGTTTCTTTTAGAAATTTCATGTTTATCCATTATAAGTAAATTACCTTGTGGCCAATTCACCGCTTTATCCCAGTTATGTGTAAACTGATCACAGCAACTCTCAAATAATATCCTATCAACGAGAGCCATCTAGAAATGCTAAGCTATATTAGAGTCGGAAATTCAATTTAAACTAGCTCTTTAACAAAAATAACAACTGCCCCTCTTCCCATACAAGCCTATTACAGCATAGACTCCTTCTCTGCTCACATAGCTCCATTACATTGTGAATCCTGGCTCTATACAATGTAATATTCGGTTTATTACTTTATTGATATTAAACCGAGAGAGCTATGAGAGACTCTGGTAAATTACATTGCAGTATCTGCACACAACCTTGAGCGTGGCTACAAACCCTTCAGGTACAGGGTGTCTCAACAATAGGAAGAGGAATAAAATATGTATTATTCTATATAATTTCTATTCATTTATTTGCTTAGTAAGTTAAAGGGTTTATTCGTTGAACAAGGAAAAAATAAATTTGTGACTTAAGTGCCGTTTAGTGTTTTTTCTTTCTTTTTGTTAATTTATATATAGATATGTATACAAATTTGATTATTTATAACCATGATAATATTTTATATAAAAAGTACCTTTTGCTTTTTGAAATAAATATTGCAAAAAGCGAAAGGTACATTTTATAGATGATACAGAGTTTCATTCCAAAAGGAGCTAAATCCACTTTGGGTACTTCTGAGTAAATCGCCTTTTTTAATTTCTCCACTTTCCCTTTAGCCATGGACCTTAATGTTGTTATATATTTTAAAGGTGTCACCCTGAACCAATAATATATGATAAGAAAAAAATCTACCAGTTTTTCCGGAGTTTTGCTAAATTTTTAGATTTTTTTTTCTCGTGGATTTAGCTCCTTTTGGAATTAAACATGATATTGTACCTGGAAAATTTCATATTTTCTCAATAAAATCACTGACATTTATTCAAATTTAGTAGCAAACCTTTCCTTTTAAATAATAATAGTGAAATCACAACTAAAAACCTTTTGAAAAGAAAGTAAACAACATATCAAATTTTCATTCCAAAAGGAGCTAAATCCACAAAATCTAAAAATTTAGTAAAAATCCGGAAAAACTGGTATATTGTTGGTCCAGGGCGACACCTTTCACATATAAACCAACATGAAGGTACATTGCTAAAGGGAAAGTGGAGAAATAAAAAAGGTGATTTACTCAGAAGTGCCCAAAGTTGATTTAGCTCCTTTTGGAATGAAACCGATTTGGATTTAGCTCCTTTTGGAATGAAACATGATATTGTACCTAAATTTTTTCATACTTCCTGATGAAATTTTCGAATGTGATATAGTGCATTTTGTCCCCATGTAGGAAATCATTATTTTAAGACAAATAACTCCATTTTGATAAAATATGGATTTAGCTCCTTTTAGATTCAAGCTCTTCAAAAATGTTGTGAATATATCCAAGTGAATATTCAAACATATACGCTGTATGTATTCTGTATTAAGGGACCGCTTGAACATAATAGTACATTTATCTTAATTTTGTTATCATTTAACTCCAAGTGATCACTAAACTGTGGAAAGCGAGAAAAAGCATAGTGATGTCCTAAAATAAAGTTTTCGAGGTATTATAATCTCTCTCTCTCTCATTCTCTAACGCAAAACACAAATATATATAGAGAAAGAGAGAAATAAAGACAAAGAGAGAGAGAGAGAGGAATCATCTGTCCATCTTTTCGACTCACTTTAGATATACGGCTATTAAAGATGTATTAGTATTTTAATTGTTTATAAACGAAAACGTAATTTATTACTTATATTCATAAAACACAATTCATAACAATAATAGACACTTCAAAACATGAATAAAGTTAACACAAGCATTGTTATTTTATTTCAGACAATGGCACTCATTTTTATGTCACACCGTGTATTTGATGCTATCCTTCAGTGTTATGATATCAATTCGACCAGTCGACTACCAAACACACGATCAATAGGTCAACTTTTTAGTTCCGATCGAAAATTCGATGATAATAAAATCTTGTAAGAAAACCAAACGGAGTTTCACAGTAGGCAGATGGCAAGAGCATGATCATTATTAACTCTTGCAGTGCAGAGAATTACTTAATAGTATAGATTCCACATTGGGCATCGCTTCACGCAGGTGAAGCTGGGTTAAAGCTGAGGTTTGTGTGTTTCCAGTAAAGTAATTATATTGTAGAGATGAAATGGATGTTGTAATTTAAATTACATGAATTTATATTACATTAAATAACCATAATTGTACCAAATATGTAAAAAGAATACAACACACGTTATATAGTCTTATGTATTGAATTATCAATATCGTATGTATAAGTTGTTTATTATTGGCACTCATATGAATAAATCTCTCTTTGCCTCGGAAATACTGACAAAATATAAACGAAAGTAGTTTTCTTTTCCTTGTAAGACTAAATTTTTAGTAGATTTGCTCAATATTTGTTTAAATGTGTGCATCAAAACCAAAACACACAAAGAAATAAGAATTGATACATGTATGAAATAGAAGTATTATAATATAATATTAGTAATGTGTTTAATTTGATATATTTAATGAAGGGTTAGTAGGCACATTGTTCATGAACTATAAACCTTTTGCTTTCTCTCAGTTAAAGAATGTTAGACCCCTGTTACACATGCGTCTGAAAGTGGACTGAGGCCGGCCCCGGAGGCGGCTCGACGTATGTGTAACACTAACTTTTTTTTGAAAAGCCGGACTAAGGCCAGGTGGACTCAGTCCACCTCTGGATGTGGTTTGAGGCCGGCCTCAGTCCCGCAATCAGTAGGTGTAACACCAAAGTGGACTCGGGGCCGGCTTATAAGCGGAAGTGACGTGATTATCAACATATACATCGGGCGCCCTTTGCCACCCTCTCTTATGTTATTCTTTGTTTTTATCATTCTATCACTTTCTCTTTCCGTCTTTCCTTATGTTATTGTTTGTTTTTATCATTCTATCACTTTCTCTTTCCGTCTTTCGTTATGTTATTCTTTGTTTTTATTATTCTATCACTTTCTCTTTCAGTCTTTCCTTATGTTATTCTTTGTTTTTATCATTCTATCACTTTCTCTTTCCGTCTTTCCTTATGTTATT